AGACCTCCCTCACTTCAACAAAGTTCATGGTCAACAAGGAGTTGCTTAGCTACCCTTCATACTGTTTTTATATATACCATTGTTGCAGAAACCTGAAGCTACAAGTATGTAGGTGGAAACTTTATTTTCTTATGATAATAAAGGATCAGGGTTTTTCCTTCTATATTGATTGTCACCTCAGTGGATATATTCCATAGCTTTTGATGGATAACAAACCACTCCAAAACTTAGTAGCTTAGAGCATCAACCATTTATTTGGCTCATAATTCTGAAGGTTGGCAATTTAGGCTGAGTTTAGCTGGGCAATTCTGTTCTTAGCTCCCTCCTGAGTCTGTGGTCAACCTTGGGTTGGTTAGGCGATTCTGCTTCTGGAAGTTGGCTAGTTGCTGACTGGAAGACTTGACTTCTTCTCCATATGGTGTCTGTACCTCCAGAATCCTTGCCTAGGTTTTTTGTCATGGTGGTAGCAGAGGTCTAAGAGAGAGCAGAAGCAGGCAAAGAAGGCCTCTTGAAGCTAGCGTTGGAATTAGGACACTGTTGCTTTTGTTCCGTTCTGTTGGCCAAAAGAAGTCACAAGGCCAGCTGATTCACAGAGGAAGGACATAGAGTCTACCTCTTGATGAGAGCTGCCATAAAGCAACATGTTCCAAAGGGTATGGACACAGGGAAATATGGGGAATTGGGACCATTTTTTTTTGCCATCAGTCTACCACAGTTTGGTGAATGAAGGACTCAGAGATGTGCTTCAGACACTATCTTTGTTGTCAATATAGATTTTAATTTTGCTGTTACAAATTGTATCAGTGCCCTTTTTATCTCAACCTATTGTCCTTGTACCTTGTATTATTTTTCTCTTTATACTATTCATTTGGTTTTGGCTTCTTGTGCATTTTTATTCAAGTCCATGTCAAATAAAATTTTTCTAAAATTATCTTTTGGTTCTTTATTAAATCTATTCAGAGACATGTTCTCTCTGTCTTCAGGATATTTCTTCTTCATGTGTGGGAGTATTTTTACTCATGGACCTCATCATGTTTTTTTCCCTTTTTGTTAGAGTTCTGTTAGTATGTGCCAACAGAGCATGTGGACGTTTCTCACTGTCTGCTTAGATTTGAATGCCTTTTCAGATCCTCATCTGAAGAATAGTTGTTAGACATTCCCCAGTGACTGGCAACCAGTCATCAAATGTGGTTTTGCTAAACTAAACTAGGATCATCTGCCACCATGCTATGTATGCCTGGTTTTTGGACAGTTTAAAAAGGTGAAGTATGTGGAAAAACCATATTTCTTAACATATGTTATTAAAAGAATTTTTCCTGTATTTTCCCTTATTTGCAGAAATTTTCATTTGGATATTGAGCCTTCTCAGATGCAGTAAACCATTCTTAGATGCAGTAAACCCTACCTTCTCACATGCTCTTTACTAGGAATTGTACTTAAATGGATGTAGAAAGAAGTGTGCCACTGGTCAGTTGGGAATGAGTTGCACTACTCTGGCTGCCTCATAAAGCCATCCTCTACTACGGCAACACTGCCTCTCTTAAACAGCAGGCAGAAAAAGGGAGAGAGCTAAAGTCCCTTTCTCAGCTGACAGAATTACTGTGTTTCACAGAGCAAAGCAATCCTTTGTACCCTGTGTGCTATTCAGAAAACTGGGCCACCATTAATTTGTTTCTAGACCTGGTTTCTGGACTTACAGATAGTGAAATTGAGGGTTCTTATCAGAGGTTAAATTAATTTTGGTAGAGTGAACTCTTGTCTCTTTCTGTGCCTTTTTCTGTGCCTTTCCTGAGAAGATGGCAGCAGCTGCACTGGCAGGTCTCTACGTGGATGCCATGCTAAGCTAAGAGTCCAAACTGTATTTAATTAATAATTCATTTTCCATTTTTTGTTAATCAAATATATGTAATGAATATCCAATAAAAAATATAGCAACCACAAATAATAGTTTTTGAAAGGGTGAGATTTGCTACTTTTGTTAGCTTGTACAGTGTTGTAATATGAATAAATACATCACTCCATAATAATTTTGGAGTAATAACATATATTTCCTAGTCCTCCATTATTGCCTTCAAAGTTTGCTGTTGGCAAACCACAGCTCTAGCACTTTGCTTTTCTCTCTTGTCGTCTCCTGGGCATCAGTGGTCTAAATGTGGGACATGTTTGGCTGAAGGCTCAGGAAGCAGTGCCTCCAGAATTCTCTGAAACAGTTTTTGGAATAACAGATCGAAATAGCTATCTTTGAGGAAATGATAGTTACTTCTAAAGGAGCTCTAGTTGTCTTATCTCTGGCAACTATTTCTGGCTGCTAAGTTTAAGACGTAATGGTATGAACTACCAATGTTTGACTAGTAGAAAATAAACAGGACAAAAACTGAGCAATAGTTAATCATGTTTAGTTCACTCACTTGTTTTTTCATATCACATGCTTATGATACTTACCTTACCTATCTTTAATATAACTATGTTTTATATTAATTATTATAGATTTTCCACTGGAATTAAGATTTTTCACAATGTTGCACAACGTTCCAAGAGCTTATAAACCATCTGAAATGGTTTGAGAACCACTGAGCTTATCATCTTGTAAGATACTAGAGGGAAGGTACTTTTGTCATCATCGTCATCACACATGATCAGAAGCCATTGTAGACTTGAGTAGAAAGTAACATGAGGAAACATTGGACTTAATCCTTGGGGTGTTTGGGGAGTTTTCTGGAATGAGTGGTGGAGGGTGAGAGTAGACATGGCAGTGAGAGTGGAACGTAACCACTGTAAACAACATTGTCAGTTCAGTTCATATTAAGCATTTGATTAAAAACTCCTAAAACTCTAGCATTATTGATCCAGATGAAAATATTAAGGTGGATTTCTCTTCTGTTAGTTTGATAAGTTAATTTTGAATTGATGAAAGTTGTACAAATTAAAATTTTAAAAATCATATTTTTTTTCAAACATTCTTCCTCGTAACTGGCAAACACAGATGAAAGTCATCTAAAAAGTACTTTGAGTTTCATATTATTATTTTTCTAGGTAGGAACATGTAATTATAGGATACGTTTTCAAAACTACATCATTGCAGTAACTACACATTTATTCATTCCTAGGCGGTATGTGTTACTATGCCCTAATTTTACAGATTCAGAAATTCAGAGTGGCGTAGTGGCTTGGCAGCCTTTAAGCATCAAAACTAAACTTTGAATCCAAGGCAGATGATGCTAAATCCCATGCTCTTTGAACCACACCACAACATGCCTTGGTTTGTAAATTATTTATTTAATTTCTTAAATAACAAAAGTAATATATGCTCAAGGCAAACATTACCTAAATGCATACATTATGTATGGCAAGTATATATTATACAGATATATATTTGTATTTTGGAAAGATGTGTCTAGCAGCGCTATGGTTGACAGATGGAAAAGAGGGAACCTTGGAGGAAGAGAAACTAGTTAGGAAACTATTTCAGTAATCCTGACAAGAAATGATAACAGCCTCCCTCCCTCCTTCCTTCCTTTCCATGTGATGATTTGAGGATTGAGTGAAGAGCATTAGGTGTCCTGCTTATGTAGGGGAAAAACCAAAGTATAAGATGTGGAAACCTCTAAGAGATTTATGAGCCTTTCTGGGATCTAGTTTACATGGTGACTAAAGCAAATTTCAGATTACAGTTTCTTTTCACTTTTGTCTATTCTAAAATAGGATTCTTATAACTGTCCTTACTATCTTGGCTAGTAATTCAGGAAGTAGAACTCATAAAGAGATCATAGTCACAGACCTTCAGTTTCAGGGTCATAATGTAGCTGTTGAAATGACAGCTAAATGGGGAAGACTGGTCTGCCTCTCTTTGCTGGCCAAAGAAACACACAAGACACTTGGCTGGATGTTGAAGGGTAAGGAATGGAGAAGGGCATGTAAAATGGACTCAGCCAGACCTTGTCCCTGGAAGTTTTCAGGGAGATAAATGATAAAGGTAACTCTAATAGTAGGTAGGAGTAAAAGTAGAAGGGGCTACAGATTCAAAGAAAAGAATTTATCATCCAGGAAAATCTGGAGGATATGGCATTTGAGTTAGTGAACTTTGAATAGGAAGAATAGAATGAGGAGCATTCTACCTCAAGGGAGTAATATGACCAAACTCACTGGCCCCCCCAAATATTTGTTGAATATCTGAATAAATGGAATCAGGTAGCATTGTTGTTCCACCAACTTACTCGGTATAATGTAGTGTCTCCTATATGCCAGGCACTGTGGCAGGTAGGTGCTAGGACTATAACAAGATGACCCTCATAGACAGTCATCCTCTAATAGGAGAGACAAGTAAAACAAACTAATGACTATATAAATTCAAAGTGAAAAAGGACTGTTAGGCTACTGAATAACTTGGGTGAAAAGACATGTTGGATAGGGTAGTCAAGGAAGGCCCCTCTGAGGGAACAAAATGTCATTTGAAACTGATCTTTTTAAGAACCACTTTGAGATATTTACCCTGTTTCAAGTCTTTACCATTGTTGCTTTCCAAATACAGTCCTCCAGGACTGGTTCCAGGACCCCTGCAGATACCAAAGTCCGTGGATGCTCATGTCCCTTATGTAAAATGGTGTAGTGTTCGCATATAACCTAAGACGTCCTCCCTAGACACTTTAAATCATCTCTAGATTACTTATAATACCTAATACAATGTAAGCGCTATGTAAATAGTTGTAAATATAATGTAAATCCTGTGTAAATAGTTTCTGGTGTGTGACAAATTTAAAATTGCTTTTTGGAACTTTCTGGAATTTTTTTCCCAATATTTTCATTCCATATTTGGTTGAATCTGTGTGTGGAACCTGCAGATAGGGAAGGCTGACAGTACATTTAATTTGTCTAAATTACTCCCCCTGAAAGTACAACCTGTGAATTTCCTATTTTCCATCAGTATTTATTTTATACTTATTTATTTATTTGTTGACTTATTTACCTGTTGTTAAATTTATAATGTCATCCCTGTTTTGCAGAAACCAAAGCTGAAAGATTGGCATCCTCCTGGGGGTTTTATTCTGGGATTGTGGGCACTCATTATCATGGTTTTCTTCAAAACTTATGGAATCAAGCATATGAAGTTCATTTTCTAGATGCGATGATGTATGAAGAACACTACATGGAAGACTACAACCTTGGATAAAAGTTCATGTCAATATATATATATATTTTAACATCTTTATTGGAGTAAAATTGCTTTACAATGGTGTGTTAGTTTCTGCTTTATAACAAAGTGGATCAGTTATACATATACTTATGTTCCCATATATCTTCCCTCTTGCGTCTCCCTCCCACCCTCCCTATCCCACCCCTCCAGGCGGTCACAAAGCACCGAGCTGATATCCCTGTGCTATGCGGCATGTCAATATATTTTTAAAAATGCATTGCTCTTGTGTGATTTGGCAGAAAGCATAAGGAAGCTAAATTTGAAAGAACTATTGGTTTTATAACTTAGAAATAATTGTTAATGCAAGTGCTAAATGACACTAAATATATTTGTTTTTCATTTTGTATTATTAGAATATTGGGACAAAGAGATCAGAATACACTCACTGACTCTTTTTGAAAATAAGAATTTCCCCTTGTTTTATCCCCTTTTCATTTGGAAAAGAAAAAAATGTGAAGACATTAAATTCTCACTAGCAAGGGAAACTTTTGTTAGTATTTTTGTATACGTTCTCCCAGTCTTTTTCATACTTTTTTTCTAAAATAGAGAGCATATAGAACATACCATTTTATAACCTTATGTGTCATTTTGCAGTATGTTGTCAACCCCTTCCCTCTCCTTGGATATTCTTCAAGAACACGTGAATGGCTGCACACTATCCATTTCATGATTGTACAGTAATTTATTTAACATTCTTCTATAATTAGACCACTTACTTTGTTCCCCAAATTTTCTTTTGGTTCATTCTTTAATGTGTTAATATTTTGTCAGCTATTCTTGGAATTCTGCAGCTAAAATGCCAAGTAGATATGAATAATCAGTTTCTTAATCTGTGGTACTGACAGCCTCCAGGCCCTTATTTACTGTCAGTTTATCTGGAAAATTTAAGATCTTGGGGAAGTTCACATACTGATTGCTCAAGAGAAACAAACCTAATCATTTTTCATTTCTAAGCATTCTGTGCTCCTCTAGAATTGATCACCTCCTCTTCTGTTTCCACGCTGAAAGAGATGTTGTTTCATTCTGTTTAAGGTAAACCTTGCCCACTGGCTGGATCTACACTTTTTCTGGGACAATCCCGTAAAACGGATGGGCTGTAGGAAAAATTCATACTTGTGGCCCTGTCTTCGTGTCTGACTGATGTATCACATAAGGCAGTAAGCTCTTTTCTGGTCTCTGACAAGATGCAAGGGCTTATATCCCCATCACTGATTTTTTTCATCTTGCCAGCCATCTTCATATCTATCTCATAACTGTAAGTGGTATTGAGATTGTGCTTTGCTATCAGCCCCAGATATTGCTTTTTCACATATAAGCGGTAAAAAAAAAGTGAAAGTTGAGTATTCATGTCCCGTGGGATACTTTTTTGTATTTTATCTGTTTTATCCAGGAACTTCGTGCTAATCTTTATTCACTATGAAGATATGTTTTGTAAATTGTAGGAAACATTCAGAAGACAACCCTTCCTCTACAATAAAACCTCTTAAAATTAATAGTCCTTAGACTCTGTTTTCCTTTTAGCACTTAAAATATTACCCTTTAATTATATGCAAAATGGTCATGCTTTTCACAGGCAAAGGATTAACTGTTATCTCTCAGAACAAATGACACTGAGGCTTTTTGCCAGCTCTGAATCTTCATTTTAATTGATCTTTTTACTGCTGCACTAGATAAAAGAAGAAGGACAATTTTTATCTGATTATATGGAGAAGCATCTTTTGGTACATAGAAAGGGGGAAAAACAAACTTAAATTCGAATAGCTGGATCGTAGTAGTGCTAAGAGACAAAAAAAGGTTGACCATGTAAACACTTACATAAGGTCATGGACACTCTGGTGGCCGGGAGCTACTTAGAGTAGTAAAGGAAATATGATTGTTCTTGAGCCAATGTCATTTAGTTTGAGTATAATGAAACATACCCTGATGGTAAAGACTACTGGAAAGTAAAAGGATTCCTCTTCAGAGATTGTAGAAGGTGCCCTTCTTAGTTAAAACCAAACTGGGAAAAGTAATACTGGGTATAATATACAGTATTAATTTTATTCCAGACAAATTTCATAGGGCAATTATTTCTTTCTGTTTCATTATTGAATTTTCAGAATATAGTTAAAGCAAAAAGCTTGAAATATGTTAAAGGTTTAGCTCATAACCATAATCTTTTTACATAAAGTATATTCTGCCTTCAGTAATAAGTAAATCCTCTGCATATGTTAACTGGGTAACATCGTAAGTGTAATTAAATGGCCCAGACTTTAAATGATAACATAAAAGCACATCCTAAATATATTTTCCTTGAGCCACAAAGAGCTGAACAACTGAAAGGTGTTTTCCTTTTGCCTTTCTCACAGTGTTATCGTAAGGATCAGATGAGCTAATGATATGACTACACACTTTGGAAATTGTGAATATTTGGTGGTGGTGTTTTTCTTTTTTCTGCCTAGGAAGATACCAATGGGGAAGTTAATGGTGCCAGGGTCCCACTTATTTACCTTTCTAAGCTACTCAGTGTGATTCCCATTCTCTTCGGTGTTCTTTTTCTCCTCCCCTGCAGTGTCTTCTATATTCCTTGTCCCTTCAGGGAGACAAGGAATATAGATAAATGGATCCCAGCAGACATGTCCTGACCTTTTGGGGGAGGGACAGGGCATAATGATGCCCTTCTGCAAAGGCAGCCTGCGTGAGAAAAAGAAACCAAATGATGTGGATTTTAAAATTATGAAAGACATTCATTTACAGTTTATGAAAGGGAAATGTAGTTTGGAAGCAAAGCTGATTAAATTGGATCAAGAAAAATTGGAATTAAATACAAAAAATAATGAATGCATTTATGGTTTCAATTTTTATATATCCTCAGCTAGTTGAAAATGATGATTCCCACAACAAGCATAACTCAGCTTGTTTCTGCTTACTGAGTATTTTCTACTATGGTATATGTTGACAACATTTCTTACCTTATGTATGTTGTACAGCAGAGTTACAGTTACTGTGGGAATCATAATTTGAAATTTTGACTTATGTGTTTCTGTAACGTTTACAATAAATGTTGCATTAACATAGAACTTCTTTTCATTGATTTTACCAAAATTAAATTCATCTATAGCAGATATACTGTTTTAACTTATGAAAGAAACATTTTATAAACATACCACAAGGTATGGCTGTAAGATGAGATCAGTCTCCATTTCACTTTATGGAATCAGCCCCATTACTTCACTGTCACATTTCCTGCCTGAGTGCATTACCTGCTCATGTACCTGATGCGTAAATGTGAAAGTCTTTCAGTTCATGGACAATACACCTTAGTAATAACCGGTCTTTTTCCTTTTAGTGCAAAATTTTACTGTTTCGGAAATGTGCTATGAAATATTTGTTATAAATTAACTGAGTAGACCCCTGAATAACGGGATTGATATAGATGAAGGTGTGACCAAGAAACTCATTATTAAAAATTCGTTTACTCCACACTTGGAAAGGTGGTCACTGTCATTCTTGTTTCACTTGGGCTGCTTGCAGCCTCAGAGACTTGAGAGGACTTTCAGATGTGCCCGATGTATATACCCAGAGTTTACCGGGCTCATATGATATGACCCTCTTCTCATGATGGAAGTACCAGCTCTGACTGTGCTAGAATCTCAGGGACAGCTGGCAGTAGCAATGTAGGTCACTTTCTTCGGGGTCATTAAATAAGGTCATAAATGTAAAGCACATCATACAATACCTGGCACATGGGAGAGGTTCAGCCTTTTGTTCTTTGCTGGGCAGGGCTCTACCTAGCTCTTGTTTTTAACCTCCACTCAGGTTACTCTTTAAAGAACCATTAGCCTTGGTGCTCCTGGGCTGTCCTGTCCCCTTTGGTTTTCAGCAGTTGTCATTTTGAGGTAACAGTTTCTTTTCACTTTCAACGCTGTCCGACAGTTTCAATCCACAGGTTCTCTTCCCTCTCTTTTCGGTTTTTCCATTTTAGATAGGCTGAGGCTTTTCTCCATCTTCCCTCAGCCTTAGGTTTTTATTATCTTCTCTCTATGACTTATCCACTCTCTTGGAAACAAATATAGCATGATTATTGGGCAGTCTAGCCTCACCCCAGGCCCCAGATGTCTGGATAATTACCCTGTCTGAATTTCTCTTTATTCCTCTGTCACACTGGGTACTGCATTTCCAGGAGAAGACCTCCTCCTCTCCCCCCAACCATGTTAGTCAGAACTTTTAAAGTTTCAAATGATAGAAAGCCAACTAGAAAAAATTTAGACCAAAAAAGGAATTTGCTGGAGAATATTAGGATATCTTACAAACTTGCGGGAAGGGGGTCTGGTGTGAGCCTCACCAGGGGCTGGCATGGCACCTGGATATTCTTTTCTGCATGTCTCCTTTTGGCTTTCTCACGTGACTGGTGACTCCAGAGCCTGATATCCTGTGCTTCATCACAAGAGAGAGGAAAGTTACTTTCTTCCTTTATTTCCAGTTCTGAAAGTCTTGGGGACGAACTGATTAACCTTGTTAATCCTATAAGCACATAAGGACCTCTGGTGGCAAACTCCTGTCTAGTAGGGTCCCTGCCAGAGAAGGGAGAGATCACAGGAGCCAGGCAGTCACCCTTACTACTACTTTCTACTAACTTGCTATTCAGTGGGTGGTCTGTGGAGCTGCAGCATCACCCTGGAGCTCGCTAGAAATGCAGAATGTCAGGCCCCACCCTAGACCTGCTGAACCAGAATCTGCATTGTACAAGATCCCCAGGTAATTCACACGCACATGAAAGTAGGAGAGGCACTGATCTATACCTTCTACTAGCTAGCTCAATTTTATCTCTTAAAAAGGAGGTTGTAAAAGATTGCAAATACTCACTTGTAAAACAAACAGCCATGGGTAGCATATTTTATGGGTTAATTGACTCTTTAACATTCTTTTTCTTAACTTTTTATTTTATATTGGAGTATAGTTGATTAACAATGTTCTGTTAGTTTCAGGTGTACAGCAAAGTGATTCAGTTATACATATACACGTATCTATTTTTTTCAAATTCTTCTCCCATTTAGGTTGTTACATAATATTGAGCAGATTTCCCTGTGCTATACACTAGGTCCTTGTTGGTTATCCACTCTTTAGCATTATTCTTGACTCTA